TATGGCCAGGTAATTTATTATAAAAGTCAGATGAGGCGATGGTGAGCGTGAGGGTTCCTGCTGTTTAAATCCTCTCTGAAGTCTTTATGTGAGGTCAGACAAACGTTAGTAGCTTGTAGGATTTAAAGTAACCTGCTGGTTCTTTACAGCAACGATGGCACCGAGTTTGGCGGGTCGATCTACCAGAAGGTGAACGACAAGCTGGAGACGGCCGTCAACTTGGCCTGGACTGCAGGAAACAGCAACACCCGCTTTGGCATCGCCGCCAAATATCAGATCGATTCTGATGCATCTTTCTCCGTGAGTTTCATGTATTTATTTATTTCAAATAACCAGCTTTGTAAGTAACCAGCTTGGCACTGCTTCTCTGTAGTGGGAAACACTTATTTATTCCTTCCCCTTATCTCAATTATTAGAAATTTGTGGTTAAAACCAAGTTAAGGTATTCAAATTCAAAAATACTTTATTAATCGCAAATGAAATATTATTACATAATTGCTATATTTATTATGACAAATGTGTATGCCTGTTAAAGATACTTTGCTAAAGAACCAACAAATAAATTATATAAACAAAATCATTACAAACTGGCTGTCATGACAAGATGTTAAAAAAGTCATAATAATAATAATGACAATTGTTAATAACATCAATTATCTTCCAATGTTCAACATTTAAATTCTCCATAAACTGTTATATAAAAAAACCTTAAAAATCTAATGATAATAGTGAAATAATAATAACCTACTTTCAATTTGCATTTATAGAAATTATTTTACCGTAAACCAGAGGTGTCGAAGTCATTACGTAGAAAAGTCAGGGTCAGAAAATATTCAGTTTCCAGCCACTTTGTGTCATTTTATAACACAATCCAGTAATTATTTGACCTTCAGTTGTTATATAAATGCTAAACATGACTTAAAAGGGTTTCTGTCTCTTTAAGAAGCTCCTACTCTAACACTCTGCCTTCAGGAAGTGGTCACAACAGAAACGCCTTTAAAACAAACATTTTCTCCAGAGGGCCGTAAATGGCCCCTGGACCGCACTTTGGACACCACTTCCTTAAAACCTCAGGTCATGTTGTTTTGAATCATCATGAAAGCGGCCATGTTGTTTAACCTCGGACGTGTTCCTGCCTGGGAAAAGAGCTGCAGGTCGGCACAGACGATCGCAACCCCAAACAGGAAGTCTGCGAACCACAGACCGATCTCTGCTAATTCAGTCCCGTCTATCACATTAGTCCTAAGTCCCACTTGCACCAGAGCCAATTAGTGCGGCTGGTTGTTTGTGTCGTTATTTAGGCCCATTTCTATTTGAAGTGACTCACCTTCAGTCGAACATTTTGACTCTCAGCCCAACTCTGCAACACAGATTTGAAACATTCTTGGCACTTTATTGTTGAATTAAATTATGACTAAAAATGAGTTTCTAAACATTTACATTTGTTCAATATGTTTTATTCCTTTAACTCTGGGTCTGTTTTTTTAGTGTTTGATTTCTGAACATTTGAACTGTGTTTCTCTTGACAGGCGAAGGTGAACAACTCCAGCCTTATTGGACTGGGCTACACTCAGAATATTAAGCCAGGTGAGTTCAGTCTGCAGGTAATTTAAAGGGTTTATTTATCTTCTTTTCTTACACATTTTCCTTATCGATTCTGTTTATTGGTCAAATTCATTTCTAGGTTCTTAGTCCAGAAATGTGAAAAAGTTAAAGGGAAAGAAACACTGAATTTATCTAATTATTTAGCAGAAACATGCCTGAGAAATGTTCCAATTCTGACCAGCATATTACGCTGGCTTATTACCTGATTCCTTAATTAGAGAGCTTTATACAGTAAAATGTAGCAACAGTGAATGGAAGCAGCTGAAAGTCTAACAGTTATTTACTCCTGAGGGTTTAACTTCACTACAGTAATGCAGCTGGGGAAACATTGATAGTTCTCCCAAAATTATTTAGTTTTGCCCTGACATGCCACTTAGTGGTAAAGTTATGCATGTAGTGGGCAGAAGGGAAGTCAAAATACTAACTCAGTGTTCTATTTGGCTCAGACACTGGGGAAAAATAAGTTCCTGTTTATCTAATTATTTAGCAGACAAATGTGAGAAATGCTCCAATTCTGACCAGCATTATTATGCTGCAGTATCATCAGATTCCTTACCAGTTAGCATTAGCTTGCTATTCTCGTTTTCCAAGTATCGCTGCAGTACGTTGTTTTGTCTCCGTCATAAACGCCGTCCATCTTTTCGGTGTTGGTGAATATTTAGGGAGAGTCAGAGTGGCTCGCTCCGTTGTTACCAAAACGCATCACACATTAGTTTAATGTTTCTGCTACAAAAATCTTTAATTTTTACCCAAAAAATTATTATTTCATCAATTTTCAACAATTACCACTTTACCATTTGTCATCATTCCTGATATAAAAGTGTAGATTTTGTTTTATTGTGGTCAGTCACAGTCTAATATTTTGTCATTTATGTTTAAAGTGTCCATATTCTGCACATATCATCATCACAGCAGCAGTAAAAGCCAAACTGCTGCTCTGCACCAGCTGAACTGAAAATTTTTAGATTTCATTTCTGATAGTTTCTAACTATTAAAGTAAGATGATGATCCATAGATCACATTGCATTTTTAGAATTTGCTCTTTTCTATTTATAAACATTAAATCAATAAATGTTTGGAGATTTAGCCATGTGAAACTTAGTTTTTACTTTTATCCAAACAATCCATAATTTTATTATTGTTACATGTATATCAGTCTTGTTGAGAAATATGGAGTATTTTAATATTTACTACTGATTTCTGCTTAGTAATAATATTGAAACGTTCAGATGCCTGAACCTTTTATTTCCTGTTTTTCCATCTGGATATTTGACGTTTCTGGAGGATATTCCTGCGGTGCAGTGAAAACTGATGTTGAAATGTGTTTCTGCAGGTGTGAAGCTGACGCTTTCTGCTCCTGGATGGTAAAAACATCAACACGGGCGGCCACAAGCTCGGCATGGGGCTGGAGTTCCAGGCGTAGATGGGAAAGACTTCAGCCTTCCTCTTTTCCTCACACACTTATTCCTCACCCAAAATATCTTAAACCCTCTGAGTAGTCCAGCCCCTTGCCTCCCCTTGAAATGTTACAGGTGGAAGTCAGTGAAGGTGAAACAAATCCAGTTTTAAAGGACCATATTTATGTTCAAAAGCCCAGTTTAGAACAAAGCTTCATCAAGTCTGTTTCATGCTTTTGTTACTTCTAATCAAATGAAAAAGGGAAAAGCCCCACAACACAATTAGCATGTAATTCTGTTGTTACTGCTCCAGGTGGCGCTGTTACAGAGCTGTACAAAGCACTTCTCACTCAGACGACATGGTGGTCATGGAACGTTTCCTTCAAACATTTCCGCACTGAGAGTTCCTGTCTGTCTTTGGTGAATTAAACGGCGCGAGGGGTTATCTCTGAGCGACACTACGTCCCACGCACATTATTCTGTGTTTTTGTCTCACCTGTCTTTTGTGTCTGTGCTTCTGGTGATTTTTTGGTTACATATAGCAACAGAGAATACTATTTTATTGAGGGTGTTGCCTAGTTTTAGATCCACTCAAAGTCTTAAGAAGGCAAAGACGCGTCAGCCCTCGCAGGTAAACTGTCAAGCACATAACTGATGAAGAGTTTGTGCTTCTGGATGGAGGATGAAATGAAAGGATTAGAGATAGTCCAACGAATGGTTTGTCTTCCACAACGGATTATTGGATTGATGGTTATTGTACTTGACAGTTTTGTCATTTCCTGGTCTAAATAAAGAACATCTTGAACCAATTTCTTTTGTCTCTTTGTTTCTAATTTGATAATCTTGGCACAAATGAAGAACCTTCGACTTTTTTGTCACAACGCTAAAGCTGAGTAGTTACTAGTTACTTTTGCTTGGCTAACTTTTTTTTTTTTTTTTTTTACTTTTAAGAGTTTTTTTACTACCCTGTAATTTTTGAGTAATTTCATAACGAAGTATCTCTGCTCTTACTCGAGTAAGATTTATGGATTTCTACCAGCTGGATAAAATCAAACATGTTTTATTCAAAAATTCATATAATTCACAATTCTTTTTTTCAAAGGTTGGAATCTGCCTACAAATAATGTAAAACCCTAAAACTATTTTTCATTATTCCACTTTATGTACAACTTTCTGCTAATGCATTTCTGAAAGTTTCATACGGTGTCACAGTTAAGGAAAGAATTCTCTCCATGAGATGAAATGTAAACAGTTTGTGCAAACAAAACCCAGAACAATCCATGTTAATATAACAAAGCATTCCTGTTGCTGAATCGGCTTCAACCTGGTGGAGGGAGCAAAGGTCATCTGGGAGTGTCTGCAAACAGGATTTTCTTTAAGTTCCTGCAGGGCTGAGTTGACTGCCAGGTTTTTTTCAGACATTCTGCAGGATTTTATGGATTCACTTCCTGCTTTAATGTAGCAGGAGGTTTGATGAGGAGCCCTCTGTGTGTAGATGGAGGGAAAATGTCTAACTTCTAAGTTAGATCCATAATAAGACTCATATTGCATCACCACTGCTCTGACTGGTGATGCAGTTACTCATAGCTTCCCCTATTTAGGATAAATGGCTCCTTAGGTGAAAGTAGGTTTTCTGATCTTTGGTGACAATGAAACTAATTGAAGAAATGTCAGATTAAGGTAGAATAAAGAATTCAAACAAAAAGAGGGAGAGCCTCATAACATCAGTCGGCAAGTAGCCTGGATAGGACTAGTGAGGGAGGAATCCTCTAGATTGGGAGGTAAATGTAGCGTTTCTTGGTCGCTGGGAATTATGTTACACTTTAACTAAAATCCATTTGTAATATGGGAAGCAAGTCGTGAATCTTGCTTCCTGTTGATTTTCCTACAAACTCCACCCACCGCGGCGCAGCTCTGCTCCCCGGCTAAAGAATGATGCGCAGCCATGCGCAGAGAAACGCCGCCCCTCCCACTGGGTATATCAGGCCACCGTGAAGCCCGCCCCCCTTCATTCGCTCAACATGGCGGCGCACAGCAACTCGACGCAAAGCTGGAGAAATATTTACGTCTTGTATTTGTTTGTTTTCCTCCAGCTGTGGTGTAACGTCTGCCTTTCAGCTCCGGCGAGCATCACGCAAGGTACGGTCCGGCCGGGTTTCCTGTGGGGATCCCAGGAGGCTAGCTGGCTAGCTGCTGTGGCTAATTAGCATGTGACGTTAGCAACCACTGGCTAATCCGGGTTTGAAAAGGCAAAACTCATGATGTTATTGTTGTTTTTCAGTGACTGATATGCCATGTAATAATAGGTCGGTTAGATAAAGACCTTAGCTAACCGGAAATATCCGGGCGAGATGTTCTGCTTGACCCAGAAGTACCACAAAATGTAACTTTCCTCCTGTGAAAGTAGCACCATCTGATCAAAACGTCTGATTTAACTCTTTACAGTTAACTAACTACGAAATTAAGTAAAACTGATATCTCGTACAAATGTACGTATTTTAAGAACTAAATGACATAATGTTCACAAATAATTAGAAAAACAAATTTATGGAGACAGAACAAACCAGTCTTCATCATCATCATCATCAGGCTAATATGGTAATGTGTATATAGTGTATGTTTGAATGGAAACTGCTGGCTGAGTGTTTTAGTATCTGGAGCTACAAACATGATCAAAAAATAGAAAATAACATTAGAACAACAAAGCTTGTGTAAAAACAGGAAGTGTTACTTTAACAAACTGTTAAAAGGACAAAATGAACAAAAAAGTTATTCAAGTAAACATAAAAACTTTGTTTTGAAATGTTGCAATATTCCACACAATATTAAATGAAGAAAACATCTTTACTGCTAGTAATAAAATTAATATTGTTGAAAAGATGTTTGATAATTCAGTTACAGCTCCTTCTATTTGTTCTAGTCAGTCATCCCTTTACTTCCTGGTTTTCATGCATATGTGGGTTTCTAAAGCCACAAGAGCATTATTATTATTATTATTAAAGCATTATAATTTTGTCTTCCTCTGAAAAGTTTCTGTAATTTCAGCTATTTAAAGGTCAGCATAGTTTTACTTCATGTCCCAATGTTATTCCCTCATACCTGGAGTCTTGTCTTCATTATTCATGCATGTTTGACAATCCTTTAATCTCCATGCCAACCACTCAGCTGAGCAAAACGCCTGGGTGGACGTAGCCCCGCCTTCGAGGCGCAGCTCCTCCCTCTCTCAGTGGAGAAGCGTCAAGGTTTTCTGTTTAAGGGCCTGCAGAAATAAATTAATCACATGATCAATTGCATGATTTATTGTTTTTCTTTTCACCAAAAACTGGATGAAAAGTCTTCAGTCTGGTGTTTTGGCCTCTGCTAACAGTGTTTTGAAGAATAATTTGTTATAATTCATTTTATTTGTTGTTTGTTTATTTATTTTGGATGTTTAAAATGTCTTCCAGTTACAGAGCTAAATGTTTAAGTTCAAAGGTTATTGGTCCATGAGAATGAGTTCTTGGATAATTATGCCATTCTATTATTATCAATATTATTAAAAAATGGTCTTAAAACATAATATTATCGTTTATCTCTGTAACTTTTAGGATAATTTGTCGTCCAGCATTTGTTTTTGTGACTGATGCAGTTTTGGCTTTTATTTCAGTTTTATATTTGATAAAATGAAAAGGTTTGATTTATAAACGTAGCACCGTCATGTGAGCAATTTACAATATTTTAAGTTTCAGATTTTTGTTTTGCAACATTTTCAGATTTACTTTCTATCCTCTCTATATCCTGAATGTTTCATGTTTTACTCAGAAAAACTAAACAAGCGGCTCCTGTTTAGGGATGATTTATGCTGGAGAAGGCCCCTGACTTTGAATAGGCCCTTTCTTCTTTCGGGGGCGTCTCACTGCACACTTAAAGTCGTCAGTGTTCACCTCCTGTCCCGTCCGAAGCAGCGCCTCATTTTCTCTGAGCAGGAAATAATGGCAACACTTGTTTGGTTCATGTTGTCACTGACATGAATTTAAAGACGCCTTCAAATTTGGTTTATAGTTACTGGCTGCAGTTTGCTGGAAATTCAAGCTTTTGCAAAAACAAACAAAAAAAACCTAATTAAATAAATAAATTGTAAGTGTGAACGGTTTGTTTGAACAGGAGGCAAGATAAGATTAATAACTACAGGCATTGATGTTCTTTGGGACAAATACTCTTTGGCCAAAAAATATGATTTAAAATAAAAAAAAAGAAGAAATGATCTTGTTGGAAAGAAATGTCTGTTTAATATTAGATACAAAATATTAAAAACATGTTCTTCAAATTATTTTGGGCTTGATTGAATGGATCAAAGATGTAAAAATCAGGTTTAGTTCAGTGATGTCTGAACGTTCAGGTGGGCTGAAGTTGTAGGAAAAATATCAGTATAAATATTTCTGCAGCACTGAATAGATTTATTTACATAAATAACGCGTCTGTTTTTCCTGTCTGACTGTAGAAAAATGCAGTCGGTTCATTTTTAGACGTGATGAATTTGGGACAGAATGTCTTGTTTTCACTGTCACAATAATCAATTAATCACATTATAAATTAAAATGATTCTGATATTTGTTGAAGGGAAGTTTTATTTAGTCTTCATCTGTTTGGTTTCTGCTTTGTTTTGGGTGTGTTTCATTTTGGGTATTAAAAATATCTTCCAGTTCAGTGTCCAGAGGTCTTTACAAAATTAAAGTTCAGAATTGAAAAAGCAATCTATATTATAAATACATTAAAACGTTGCCAAAATGTCGACAATTTTGTGAATCACAATAACTTCTTGATTTGAATTGACATTTTCTGCATTTTTGTTCCTCATGTCTTTGTGAGGAAAAACATGTTTTATTAAAATTTCATATAAATTCAGGTTTTATCACAGACATGCCAGTAAGACGATGAAAGTTTCTATTTTTCTGCAATATATGACAATATTTCTAGATAGACTCGTGATCAGTATCAACAGATTCTGATCGAATATTGACTGAACTCTGATCCAGAAGCACAACTTTCACAGCAGCAGTTTAAAGTTTCTCCATTGTGCCTCATATCTGCTTTAAGAAAACAACGGAGAGAAAACTGGATAAAACAAGAAACGTCACAACACCAGTTTGGCAGCACTTCAGATACTTGTGTATCGATGTACATGTATATAATATTTTTTGTTATTTCTCTTCATCAGGTTTCCAGACTGCTGATTTGACTGCCTTGGCTGTGGCAGCAGCTCAGACAAACAGAACAGAACAGAGTACACCAAGTCCAAAGCTCGCATCGACAACTGCTGCCGCCCCCAAACCGACAACTTCTGCCGCCCCCAAACCGACAACTGCTGCCGCCCCCAAACCGACAACTGCAGAGGCCAAGGATGCCATCGCCCGTCAAGTAGAGCCCACCACGCGTCTTTCAGCACAGAGCAAGAAAAACGCTAGGGCCACGCTGCCTCCACCTGCAGATGAAAAGACTACGAAAGAAACTATGAAAGAAACTACGGAAGAGAATGCAGTCAAGACGACCTCTCCTGCTCCCACCGCCAGCATCAAGGTGACCCAGACAACAGGTGAGCCCGATGTCCAGGGCACCTCCCCAGCAGAAAGCGTCGAGCCACAGCTTAATACAGTGAAGCAAACAGAAACTTCCCCCTCCGAACCTGTTGAAGAATACAATTATGACGAAGACTTCATAGTTTCTTCCTATGAAGGGGGGAAGAAAACTAAGGGGCAAATCAACACCAAGCAGCCGGTTAATGTGCTGGAGGAAGCCGACATTTTCAGCTCAGAGGAACAGGATTCCCACTTCTTCTTCCACCTGGTCATCCTGGCCTTCCTGGTGGCCGTCGTCTACATCACCTATCACAACAAGAGGAAGGTGAGGCTTGGACATGTGTTGGTAATCGGTCCAGTTTGGATGGACAGTAACTGCCGTTTCACTGGTGTGTTCGGAGAATCAATGTTTTTGTTCGTCTCTCAAACTTTGGCGTTTTCTCAGCCTGGCAGCCATCAGGCTTTCCTTTCCCCCACCAGGCTGAGCGTTGTGTGTTTTAAAAATGGTTTTCTATGCAGATTTTTTATTATTCAATAGTTGAAGCACTGAACTATTTTCACATCCTGTTTACAAATTATGGATTTTTGAAACTTTTAGCATTTATTAGCATAAAACGGGCGGGATGTAGCAGACTGCGCTAGCGCCGCTACCACTTGGCTTAGCAGGTTTTCTGGGGGAAACTGTCCATGACATGTTTAGAAAATATGAACCGCTTCCTGCTGGAGGGCAAAAGCTGCTCGCTAACGGTAGCTAGCTTTGTTTTTAGCTGCCATCTTGTCAACATAAAGCACCAACTTTTGACTTTTCTCCTTCCTACATTTTTTTCTGCCTGTTTTGTTCTTGTTTTTTTATTGACCCTAATCCTTTTCTGTTCTGGGTTTTTAGCCTCGGTTTAAAGGAAATCAGTATTTCATCAGTTTTGCAGTTTGGAGCATAGAAGCTGAAGGTTGATGCAACTTGTTGCTCACCCCGAATTTCAAGTAAAAATCAGGGTTGATTCATCTATTTGTCCTCCTGACAATAGTTGAGGTGACCGAACAAATCGATGTTCATCAGTCTGATCTCTTTCATTTCTGTAATTTCTCTCCATCTGGTCTCGTTGTTCAGATCTTCCTGCTGGTTCAGAGCCGCCGCTGGAAGGAGGGTTTATGTTCCCGGAACAACGGAGAATATCGGCGCCTGGACCAGAACGTCAACGAAGCCATGCCGTCCCTCAAGATGACCAAAGATTATATATTTTGATTGACGCTCCTATACACAGAAATCCAGCTGCTTATCTGATCACTAGAATAAAGTAAAGAGGCTTTGCTTTTTTTCAAAATCATGTTTTACTTTGCAACAGCGAAATAATTTACTATTAGTTGGAGTAGAATTGGACAGGTTGTTGTTACCTTTTATGTTTCTTCATTTTTTAAAAAGTTTTTTTTTACATCTTTGCATGTTTGTGTAATTTTTTTAAAGTTCTAAGATAGATGAACAAATAAGGTGATGTAACATTTACTATTCCTAATTCCTCCATTTCCACCTATAAATGTTGATTTCTCTCAGCATTCAAACCAAGCGATACACTGGCACATAACGCACTTTGTGTCATGCATACATTTATATAAAAAGCATTAACTAAGCAGAGCAGCCATATGAAATAAAGAACTAAAATAAATTAACACCTGTGTGTAAACTGATCTACCTTAACTGCACCTTGTAGGTAAAATTATTAGTCACCAGACTCTTACTATTGTTACTATTGTCCTTTACAGATCATTTTAAAACATCCAGGAACAGTTAAAGGGTTTTTTTAGTTTTTATTGGATCTAATAAATATGATTTGCACTTTTAAGTAGTTTCAGAAAACGCACAGTGCCCTCCTGTATTACACAACGTTGGTTTATGGATGTGAATGAAACGATGGTGTGTTTCTAGGGATAAACATTTGATCAGGGAGGAATAATCTTCAGGTGATGGATAATCTTGTGTGTTTAAGCCATTTAAGAGCAGGTTGTACACAGTGGAATGTACTAATTTATAGGAATCTCTTATTGCCAGGCTTCTTTGTCTCGATTGCTTTATGTTTTAATTCCGGGTTCCTCCAGATTTTGCTGTGCAGATGTTCTGTGGCCTCTTGCTTTATGGCTTCAGTGAAGTCTCTGTCAAGCCATCGCCAAATGACGAAACTGCAACTGCAGTGTCCAATTTTACTCCCGTTTACCAGGAACATGTGCAGCAAGTAAAGAATTTAGTTATTTCAGGGTATTTCTCTCTATCTGTTGCCATTTCATGCCTCTTTGTTGAAATGCCATGAAACACCATGTCCAGGAGTTTTCTGTGTGATACATGGTAGTTATGGGCTCTGCTCTTATGATCTACTGCTACTGCAATCAACACTACGTTGTACAATCGTTTTCTCAATAAAGCACAAATTGTATAAATGTTCAGCTTTGTGTTTTTCTTGTGGTGCAGGGTTAGTGTCTACAGTAAGGGGGCTGCTGAGTTTCCATTACAAACGTCTGAAAATATTTCTCTATTTTCTGCTGCAGCTCAAGTTCACCAGGCTGCAGCAACAGGAAGGGGACGGGCCGCTGTCAGCCTCAGACCTTATATGGAAATGGGACCATTGCACTCCGGAAGTGAAGGGGGCGCTGTTTCCTATAATATCTGCGGTCTCCCGTTTTTATTTTCTTTGGAAATCTGTAATATATTTTCACCTTTAGGAGGGATTTTCACTCTGATTGAACTTCTGTCTTTTCTTCACTTCAGTGCAGCTCACAGTTTTAACAGATTCTATAGCTTTCTGTGTATTTCTAAATCTGCTCCTTAGTTGCATCTTTTCAGGCCTGATACTGCCTCTAGTGGCGTGGGGAGGTAACAACTAAATCAGAATACCACAAAGTCTTTATTGCTTAATCTTAATTCTGGCATTACTGGAACCGTAAAATATAAATTCCCTCACAAAAGAACATACCGTTTCGTTTTCTTAAGGATGTACAGCCAATTAAATGACAGTGAGGTCCTTCTCACTCTTTCTGCAGTCTGGTTGGAGCTGCACGCACCTGAGCAGCTCAAGATTCCTGCTGAAAATATCGAACAGCAGGATGAAAGTGAATCGATGGCCGACACCCAGGAGACCATGGATCGAAAGGGGGTCAGACTGACGCCTCAGAGTGAGTCCAATGAGAAGAACCAGGTACCACTGAAAACCTGATCGGAGGAACCTCTGACCAAGAGATTTCTGCAGGAAATATTGAAAAGCGGAACGATCCACTGGTCAGTGACAAAGAGTGCATTGCTGGAGTGCAGGAGACGAGATATTGCAGAGCAGGAACAGCCCATAAAGTCTGGAGCCGAAAACGTTGATAAGCAGGACACTTCTCTGCCTGAAGACCAAAGTGATCAGCAAGATTCCCTGAAGGAGATTTGCCAAGAAGAACATGTGATGTCTACCACAGAACTGGTCACGGAAAAGAAAGTGGATCACAAAGGGGAGAAACAAACATCAAAGAGTAAGCGCACCAAGAAGACGCCACTGTTATGAAATCTTTCCCCGAGCCAGGCGCTTCCACAGATCTGGAGTTTTTTTACTGAAAACAGCAACAACAATAATGGAAAGAAGACATTTTGGGAAACGCTCCCCAAGTCAGGACCTCGCACGGATCTAAGTTTTTTGACTGAGAATATTGAAACACAAAATGTTTCAATGCCGCCACAAGAACGTGATGAGGCAGCTTCCTTGAAAAAGGCAAGTTATTCCAACAACACTGTGATTTCTGCAGCACAGCGAGTCACCAAAAAGGATTCCATCGTCACACCGCAGGAGACACTGGATCGAAACAGAGAGAAATGTCCCCACTCTTCTGAGCAGACGTCTCAAGCACAGTGTGAATGTCTGGCCAAATTTAAGGAGACGGAATTGGAATACATCAGAGTACAGAAATACTTGATGAAGCAGCTGGATGAAATGTTCTATATCAATCAGAAACTACATGCCAATCTTAGACAGCAGAAAGATCTGATGAGGAAAGTCCTCTCAGAGTGAAAACAAAGCAAGGATTCAATGGTTTCTGGTCAAAATCAGGCAGATTCACAAGACTGCTCAAAGCAGAAAACAGTCCGTTGTCAATCTGCTTCAGTCCAAACAGAGATGGATTCACAGGAAGGCAGTTATCAATTAAAACCAGCCAGTAGAACAACTTCTACGCAAACTGAGTTCTTTTTATTGCCAAGAAAACAGCCCTCTGAAACCCAGCTGAATGGGAACCAGGATCATCAGACCAAGCAATTGCAGAGATCTGCAGGTGAGAACAGGAGAGAGTCGGCAATCAGAGCTGCCCGTGAAATGGAAACCCTCAACGATGAAGAGGTTTCTGGAGCAAACAGTAAACCAGACGAGGTTTCTGGACCACAAACGGTTGGGGACCAGTGAGCTTCCATCAGAGATTACATTCACATGATTGAAACAAAGGTCGCTAAAGTGCAGCAGATCACCAAAGAAATGTTCTCAACAACACAAGGAAATGGGAACCAGCAACATGATAAAAAACCATCAAAAAGCTGTCAGCGTAAAATCAGGAGAAAGGCAGCAATCAGAGCTGCCTGTAAACTGAAAGCTGACAGTAATGAAAACATTTCTAAACAAAGCAGCGAACACAAAGAAGTTTCAGTTCCAGAAACAGGGACGGATCAGTCGGCCACCATCATAGTAGAGATTCACAGAAACGAATCAGTGATTGAAGACGAAATGGTCCCTAAAATACAACAAGATGGGGACCAGCGAGACGAAAGAAGGCTGTTCACTAAATCTAAATGTGAGAAAAAGACAAACATGGCAATGAAAGCTGATCTGGAAACCATTGCAAACACAGGAGAGACGGATCCAAATTTGATCCAAAACACCAAGTGATCAAAAAGTGAATTAGAAATAAACCGTTGCAGAAGACGTTACAGGTAATGTTCCTGCAGTTTCCACAGACAGGGAGAGAGGCCTAACCGAAGAACAGTGATCATGCCCTCCACAGATGAAGATTACTTTCAACAAAGACGTAATCCAAACAACTGAGGAATCAGAAACTCAAGCAGCTGAAGAGTCAGCTGAGCAGAATGACGTCACTGAACCAGCAGAAAGACCCAAGAAACAGATTTTATTGTTTAAAAAAGGCTTTGACTCCATCTTGTCTGCGCCAGTTTAAAGACAGACGTAAACTCCGTCCAGCGTAGACATCGATTTATGTCTCTAGTATTTTCAAACAGAAAATAAGAGAACCACTTTTATTAATTAAAGGGAGATTTGCAAAAAGAAAATGAAAACAACATGGAACAAAAACAGCCTTTTAGAACTCTAAACCGATACAAACTGGGAAAAATTTGGAAAACTATCTTTCTGGCCAAAATAAATTGATCTATTTATACAGATATAGATATTGATCTGTATCTAAATCTATCTCTCTATATATGTGCCTCTCTCTATATAAAGATGTATAAATCTATAGGTAGATATCTAAATATATCTACAAGTCAATATCTATACAACTACCTAGATATATAGATGTAGATATGTAAACATGAATATAGATAGATAGATAGATAGATAGATAGATAGATAGATAGATAGATAGATAGATAGATAGATAGATAGATAGATAGATAGATAGATAGATAGATAGATAGATAGATAGATAGATAGATAGATAGATAGATAGATAGATAGATAGATAGATAGATAGATAGATAGATAGATAGATAGATAGATAGATAGATAGATGTCAGCCAAGCTTTCAGCCCTGAACCTGCAACTGGTGGAAGACCCTCTGACCTCTGACCCTCTGACCCTCTGACCTCTGGGCTCTGTGGTGTTTGATGCTGAAGGCGGGATGTGATCAGGAATCAGACTCTGTTCTCTTCACGGACTTTCGCGCGTTTATTCCGTCCACCTTACAGGCAATAAATACTGTCACCATTCAGTCACTTTCTTTTTCACACATCAATCAAACATCACCAGTACAAACAAACAGTTGAGACAGAGATGTTTTTGGTTTCACCTGCTGTTATACCTGCCATTGAAAGTTTTATTAAAAGTTTGTCTGCAGCTCATGTGACCAAACCCGCCAAGGAGATGAAAAGTTAACACTCAACATTGTCTTGCACACAACCAGAAGGTCTTCAGATCTTCTTGAAGATAGAATTCAACAGTTCTTAATGATACAGTGTTTTCATTAAAGTTGAGTCGACTGTCCGGAACAACCCAGAGTATTTAAAATTTACCACAGTTTCAACTCATTGACTGTCGAGAGAAACTGGAATCACTTTGAGGTTTTGTTTGTCATTTAATTATTTCCACCTCCTTATGAAAA